GTCTAATGAGTAAACCGCTGGGCCATATCCGAAGTGAATTAAAAAAAAATCATATTGATGTGTTCTTAGTTTGATTTTTCTTAAATGATGTAATTAGTTAGAAAAGATTTTCCTTGTAAGTGAAGATGCAGCAAAACGTTCTTTTATATTAGGAAAGGATTTCTCACACTTAAAACAACTTGCCTCTCTTTCTCTCTCTCACTTTTATTTATAGATGTTTACATTTGCCCTAAAACCTCTTTTGATACCCAAGTTAGCTTATGGGTTGGGTCTACTCCTCGGGCCATACTAGATTGCAGCCCTGTTCATAATGCTGATGAGGTTGGGCCAAACAATGGCCCAACAACACCCCAGGCTTAATGGACCGGGCCGAACGTGGCCCAGTTGATCTTCTGCCCTTTTAGAAAGCTTAAGGCAATATCTCCTTCGGCTGTTATATTATTTTTAAGATTTTAACTTATGATATAGATTTTCTTCTAACTAGTTAAAATAAAGTTTATTTTATTTCCTTATTTCACGCTCTAAAATTTGGAGTGTGACAAAATCACTCTCTCTCTCTTTACTATACATCTTGCACTTTATTTTTGATTTTGGAAATTATTTTTGATTTATTTCGTTTAATTTTAAAAGATAGCAAAAATTAGATAAAGGCTTAAGTTACACCTATTCACCCCTCTCTAGGTATTTGTCCGAAGTATTTTTGTTTTGAATTGAACTTTCACAACCATTCCGTATAGCGCAACTCACATTTATTTACTTAATCAAGGTAAGAAAGTTTGGGCAATAGTTAAGAGAGGTTATACACCTCCAACAGTCGCTAATAATGAAGGGGCTAATACAGTTGCAGTCAGGATCGATCCTGAGATTCTCAAAATTTTAAGAGGCCTTAGACAAACTTTCAAATGTGAGACCCTTTATACATAAGATTTCGTAAGCGTAAAAAAATTATAAGAATATGGAATTTTCATTAAAATGAGATGATAAGCACATAAATTATATTAATGTTGAAAACACACAAAACAAAACCCAGTTGAGGCCCTATTGGAAGCAATGACATTTCAGACATATACTACTATATTGCACAATGGTTTTAAATTTGAGGCCTTTCCAAATTGGAGACCTTAGGGCCAACCCTGGTTGCAGTCAAAATTTACGATATCGATCACGGTTGCGGTGTAACGAAATCGGGTTTGTATCAGCATTACATAATATTATTGATTATTGTAGTTGTGATTTTTTATAAACTATGCACAAAGGGTTCAAAATGCACAAATACGCGAGTGTTTACAACAAAATTTAATAAATTTGGATTTTAGTGAATTTAAACATTATTTAACAGAAACAATAATTTATGCATGGATTATGAGTCGATTTCATTATTAAAAAAGTTTAATAATAATTCTTTTTACAAATTAATTATAAAAAATATAAAATATAAAAAAATTAAAAAAAAAACTTAATTATAGATCAAATGAAAATTCATATTGACAAAAAACCAAATTGAAGAGTTTTTATTTTTAAAAGTAAAAATAAAACACTATCACTATTATATTAAACTAAATATGAGATTTATTTTTCTAGTTGGTACTCACACACCCCCTTCTAAGGAATTGTTTGTACCTAATAAGAATCGATTCTAAAACCTAATACTTTATAAGGCATTAGGGCACAAGTCGATCTTTTCCAATTAGGCCAACCCCTTGGAGTTAATTGTGAATCTTCTTCTTCTTCTTCTTCTTCATCTTCTTCTTTTTAACTAAATATGATATTTTAATTTGATGGATTTAAAGAATCAAGAATCTTTCATAAACATATTACAAAAAGAGTATCGAAATTGAGAATGTGTTGATTTAATGTGGTGAGGTGGTGTGATAAAAGAAAATTTAATTTAGTAAAAGATTTTAATTAAACCTTGTAAGTAATTTGATTTTCATGAAAATTAGAGTTGTTTAGGCTCATTGGATGTAAAATATTTTTTAGAAAATATATATTTTTTAGGGTTAAGTGCAAAAAAAACCCCTAAACTATTGGGAAACTTGCAACTAACACCCTGAACTTCAAAAAATGCAAGAAACTCCCTGAACTATGCAAAAAAGTTGCAGATCACCCATCCGGCCAAGTTTCAATGAGAAATAGCTTAAATGACAATATTGCCCTTACAAGCATGAAAAGACAAGAGTGTCCTTAATTTCCAATCATTTTACCCCAATATCCTATTCCTTATAATTACTAACAAAGCCAAACACGGCTTTACCCAATTATCCCCAAATCACGAACTCTGCAACTGCTAGGGTTTTTTGTTGTTCTTCTTGGTGCTCAATCAACTGTTAATTTTGTTGATAATCGCAGTCAGAAAATCGATACAAGTCTTAGTAAGTGTTATCATCCATCTTTAGGTTTATTTTCTTCTTCATGATGGTGTCAGTTTTAATATCCATCTCTTTCTCGTTCTCCTTCTCTGTGTGTGCTTATATTTGCAGAAAATGAGTTATGAATCATCTGTAAGATGTGGGTTTCGTGGTGTGGTGCAAAGAGGGCCTGTCAGGAATAGGAAATGTTTTTTTGTGAAAAAAGGGCAGCTGTGTTGATCTCAAAGTCAGACGACAATCCTGGGAAGTTATTTTTCAATTGCAAGGATAGGGTCTGTAATTTTTTTGAATGGTAGACTCCTTCAGCTGGTTTTGGTGAAGCTACAGAAGAGGGACATGAAGCTCGAGTAGGTCATGTTATGCCCATCAGTGATTTCATTACAATTGCTAAGTCAATGTTAGTTGGAAGCATATTTTTATTTGGGATGTTAGTTGTGGTGCTATTTGTTTGCCTTTTTGTGAAGTGAATTTCGTTTTTGGGGTGTCAGTTGTAGTGCTCTGGTTATATCCATCTCATTGTCTTGTTGGGATTTAGTAGTATGTTGTTGTATGAATGAACATCTTGTTTTGGGAGTTGAAAAATCTAATTGTAGTGTTGTATGTTGAATTTTCTAATTGTATGTTGTTGTATGAATCAAAATCTTGTAGAAGTTTGAGATGAATGAAAATTCAATCTGTTTTATTGAAGGTGATGTTATATGAATTAGAATGAACATCTGTGTATACAATTTGCAAGTTATATTTGTTATGCAATGAGACCAAAATTAAGTGATTTTGGTTTGCTGAATGATAGTGCAGCACAAGTTATGACAGTGATTGGAAGTGCAAGGTTTTGGGGGTTGAATTTTTGTGATTGGAATTGCAAGTTATTGGCACTGCACCTGCTATACACTTCAAGCAAAAATGGAAGTGCAAGGTTTTGGCATTGAGCTGTAAGTATCAAAGTGACACACTTAGTGTTATAGGTAACAAGTGCTCTAAAAAACCTATCAACCATTCAAAAGTGCACTATAATTCAGTTGATCTAAGTGCACTGTAATTCATTGAATATGCAATACACTTGGTGATTTGACCTGCACCTGTTATACAGTTCAAGCAAAGTAAATGCAATAGTTAAAACACCAATAAATAGACTGATAGAAGATGGCATACATTGATAATAAAGTCTCCATACATAGACTGATAATAAACAAAAAGGCTGACAATAAACAGCTTAGTTTTGTACTAGTGTTTCACATGATCACAGACTGACAATGAAGAAAAAGCCATTATAATATAACTTGTCTTCACTCCATTCACTTGAACAGTCACCAAAAAATGGGAGTCTTCATGTTAGCAATAGTTATAAATATAACAAAACATTCATCAATAGGATCATCATCAAGTCTATGACCATTTTCACAGCATGCATACTCACTTTCCATCATTGACCTGTCAATGAAACAAAAAAATGACAATAGATCAAGTTAATTAGCAGATTATATGATCCTCAAAGACTTAAGATTGAATTACCAGATTATAGGACTATTGTCATTATACCTAGAAGATGATGCTTGGGTTTGTGACAATTGAGAAAATGGTATATTTTGAACCTGAAATGAAAAGTGGTAAAATAAAAAATGAGCTTGAATATGATATGTAATTTTAAAGCTATGAATATAGTACTTTTTACTAAAATTGAAGTAAAATTGAACAATAACCATACATCTTGATTTGCAATTGGAGCTGGAATATCAACTCCTCTGGTTCTGCCTCTACCACCCCTTCTTCCTCTTGCTCTTACAAGCATGCCATCAAGTCCTCTTGCTCTCCCTCTTCCAACACTTGGTGGTCTACCACCCCTTCTTGGTAGAGGTCTGTCAATGACCAATGGCTCAGGTATTTTGCAAGTCCTTGAGTTATGACCATTTTCCTTGCATTTAGAACATTTCAGACTTTCCTTTGATTTACTAAGTTTGGTAGAACATTTAAGATCATCATTCTTCTTATTCATAGCCTTCTTTGGCCTACCAGTGGGTTTCCTATAATGTGGTGGAAGCAATGTGTTAATGCTGTCAGTTTTCATCAACATTCCCATTGGAATGGAAAGGATCATACCACCATAACACTTCATATAGGTTTCTCTGTGATAAAATGTGTGAACATATGACTCTAGACTGTCCCTTTTAGTAAATATACATGCCACTGCATGCCACAAGGAATACCAGTTAAGTTCCAAACTCTACAACTACAGGTATGTCTGTCAAAGTCAACAGCCTCACTGATTCAATAACATTGAACTTCATACTTGTCATCACCAACATAGTAAACCTTACACATTGAAGCTTATTGTTTTACCTTGTTGAATGCCTTTTGGATATCTGGACATAACAACCCAAACTGTGTATGCATCCACTCCCTCTTATACTGAAACCTTAACATTAAATGCCTTCTAATCCACTTAAGCATATATATGATCGGCTTATCTCTTGCTTCAAGGATTACAATATTCCAACTCTCACAAATGTTATTAATAACCATATCATTTTTTGAAGTGTCAGTGAAGGCTGACCTTGACCACAAATGCACTGGCACCTTTGTCAACCAATCTTGAGCTTCAACATTTAACTCTCTTATTTTTCTCATGTATTACTAGAAATCTGCTTCAGTGTATGCCCATGCAGCCTCCCATAATTGAATCTTCAATTGCTGGCCTTTGAATCTAAGCTTAAAATTCTCATAAAGATGCCTCACACAAAACCTATGATCTGATCCCTCTATTGTGCTCTCAAAGGTTTCTACTAAACCCTGTAAATAGGATATCAAACTGGCAATAAAAATTGGTAATGTGTGACTGCAACAAGTGAGTGTGTGTGCAAGTGTGTGCAGGTGAGTGTGTGCAGGTAAGTGTGTGTACAAGAGAGCGTGTGTGTGCAAATGTGTCTATGTATAGGTGAGTGTGTGTGCAAGTGAGTGTGTGTGTGTAGGTGATTGTGTGCAGGTAAGTGTGTGACAACAATATGTGTGTAAAATTAAGTGTGTGCAGGTAAGTATATACAAGTGAGTGTGTGTGCAAGTGAGTGTGTATACAAGTGTGTGTGTGTGTGTGTGCGTGTGTGCAAGTGAGTGTGGGTGTGCAGGTGAGTGTGTGCAGGTAAGTGTGTGACAGCAATGTGTGTGTACAATTAAGTGTGTGCAGGTAAGTGTGTATGTAAGTGAGTGTGTGTGTACAGGTGAGTGTGTGTAGGTAAGTGTGTGACAATTAAGTGTGTGCAGGTAAGTGTGTGCAGGTAAGTGTGCACAGGTGAGTGTGTGTGCAAGTGAGTGTGTGTACAGGTGATTGTGTGTGCAAGTGAGTGTGTGCAGGTAAGTGTGTGACAGCAATGTGTGTGTACAATTAAGTGTGTGCAGGTAAGTGTATACAAGTGAGTGTGTGTGGAAGGAAGTGTGCGACAACACAGTAAAATACATTTTACCTTCTGCCTATCAAAGATGAAGGTTATATCATTGTATGGCCTTACATCATCAATCAACTCTCCCATGAACCATTCCCAAGAATCTCTTGTCTCAAACTCTACTACTGCAATTGCAACTGGAAACATTTGACCATTCCCATCCATGGACACTACACTTAGTAGATGACCACCATAAGGACCCTCTAGGAAACATCCATCTACACTGATTAGTGGCCTACAACCTTGTTTAAAATCAGCTATCATTGCAGCATAACAAATAAAGACTCTTTGAAACCTTCTAACATTTTCATCAGTAGTGGGCTCAGTTTGTATTTTAACTACACTACCAGGGTTGGTTCTCAATATTAAGCTATAATAATCCCTCATTTTACCATACTGCTCAGCATCATTCCTCTCAATCATTTCTAATGCCTTTCTTTTTACCCTATGAACTTTATGTGTGGACACATCAATGTTCATTTCAGATGCAATAGTGCTCTTAAGTGTTCCCAAAGGTATCTTAGGGTTCAATCTCACTTGTTCACAATATTTGTTTGCTAAGAAGGTTGATGAGGCCTGTCCATTTGTATGAAACCATAATAGTTAGTATGTTCTGGCATATAGGTCTTAATAATCAAGTAATCTTCATTTTCAGGTTTGCTTACATGTATCCTCCAACCACATTCAGCCTTGCACACTGCAGTTACCCTATCTCCATCATTCCTTGTGAACATTATATCAAACTTGTTTTTCAATGCACTTTCCCTAAGTGCCAACCTAAAATCAGCAGTTGACCCAAATTTCATGCCTAATTCCAGTTCTTTTTCTCCAAAATCTCTTGAAATAATGTAATCCTGGTACATATAACCACTATCAACACATTCATCATCAAATTTACATAAACTTATCAACTCATCATTAGGACCATACTCACTTGACACAGGAGCAATGAGTTGGGTATCACTCATTAGATTATCCCACCCTAAATCAGCATCTGAGTTGACCTCATTCTTTGTCCCATTCAACAAAGGTGCAACAATGTATAATTTCACAACAGACATTTTTCCATAAGCTTCATGGTCATAAAACATCCTAAACACATTTAAATCACACTTCATTTCTCTAAATTGTTGCCACTCATAAGGTACTTTGTAGAACACTTCACTGATCACCCCATACCCCAATCCAGTTGCCATCTTTTGAACCTCAAGATATGACATTATGTCAGGGTCTATCTTTTCAAATTTAGTTATATTTCCTCTTAAGTATGTCATAAGGGGTGATTTCTCAAATATACCCCCATGATGAAGTTCAATGGTAAACATATCATCCATTTACAACAACAAGTAGGTACAGAAAACCTCAATATAGACAATAAGCATACAAATAATAGAGACAATGCAATCATTAAATAACATATCCAATTCAGTAATTTAAGCACATGATCACTATGTATGTCAGTATGCAATTGGGGTACAATTAAATAACATGTGTTGCATATTTAGTAACACAAAGGGACCACTATAATATAGATAATGCAATCAATAATGTGGGTCAAAATTAAATACACAAAAAGGACCACTACAAAGCATATCAAGTCATTTGATAAACATAGAGGGACCACCATTTTCACATAAAGTCATGAAACAAAGACATTGTATACTATTTTATAAAGACAATAAAAAGAAATAATAGTGACATACAAGGTTTTTAGACAGGGACTAGTTGACATGAAGAAGAAAAAAAACACTGCAAAGACATTGTACCTCGAACTTTTCAAATAAAATAAAAATCAACTACAACATCAGAGTTCTAAAAAGGCATGAACAAAAGCAAAACTTTTCTTCTAAAATGTCACAGCAACATCAACTACAAACTTTTACTTCTATCCTTCAAAAATTCGACTAAGATTTTATACAAAACAAGAAAAACGCATGAACAAAGTAAGAAATAGACATAACTGAGCTTCGTCATTATATAACAAAATTGATATACACACATATAAGAAAAATTAGTTAATTAGAGTAAGAGAGTTATTGAATGCGAGTCCCACACCTCAAGGCAAATGTTTTTAGGGTTTTATGTTGATTAGGTTTGCAGAGAAAGCGGATAATGGCTTCCTTTTCTCCTCTCTTTGTCTTTGCCGTGAATGAAGGAAGGTGGGTTAGGTTAGGTTTGGCTGATGTGTGGCTGATGTAAGCTAAAGATAAGAATCCTTATCTTGTTGTGCTGTCGAAATACCATTGGTTGGTCAGATTTTCAATGCCACGTCAATAAGTGAAATTGATATTCATACCAAACTGCGTTATTTTATTAAAAGGGTAACTTGATCTTTTTTCTTTTTCGGTCACCTGAGTGGGCAAATTGCAAGAAAATGAAAGTTCAGGGGGGTTTCTTGTAGTTCCAGGGGTTTAGTTGCAAAACCCCCATAGCTTAAGGGGTTTTTTTGCACTTAACCCTATTTTTTATTTTCTGGTGTTTGGTTGTCGTAAAATATTTACAAAGAAAAAAAATATTAAAATTTTATAAAAATGACTTACATATCAATTTTCGATAAGTTATTTTACATGCCCAGTAGATGGATTCTTCATTGATCTTGATTTATACCTTTACTAAACAAAAAATATATATATAAATAAAGAAAATATTTTACCTAAAAAAAGAAACCAAGCCTTAATAAGTTATGAAATGTATATACAAGTTAAGAATCATATTAAATAGGGTAAAATGCACTAAACCCCCCTAAACTATGACCCGATTGCAAGAAACCCCCTGAAATAAGTAAAACCCTCCTGAAGTATCATTTTGCTGCAACCATCAACCAGCCATTAACATAAAAAGTAAATTACTTTTTAGTCCTTAAGTTGAACGAAACCGTTTTTAAGTTATATTTAATTTCAACTGCTTACGTGGCAAATACAATCTTACGTCTAATAAAAAAGTGACAGCACATCAACCTTTTCTCCCTCTTCTTTTCTTTTTCCATTCTTATTCTTTCTTCTTTACTGCTACTTCCCTTTTTCTTTTTCCAAGCCCAAAAAAGAATCTCATGCGGGCACTGAGGAAGAAGACGAAGATGGACCAATGCAGCAAGATGAAGAAAGTTGCGGCAGTGAGTCTTTGAAGGGCAAAGATCGAGTTGTCGCCGTAGTTTGGTCGAAAAAGTCAGGAAATGAAGACGACATGATGTCTGCGTGCTCTGAACAGTGGCGACCACAGACTATTCGATGGCGCACTGATGCAATAGAACTGAAACATACCGGCGACAAACTAAAACGCACCAGTGGGAAGAAAACAACATATCCAAAAAAAATTAAAGACAACATATCCAAACCAAATTGATTGAAGAAAAAAAAAAAAAAAAAAAAAAAAAAAAAAAAAAAAAAAAAAAAAACATTCTACTTTTACTTATTGAGGTTTTTCAATTCTTCAATTGATGGTTTTGGGCAGTTAATTTAATGCCCAAGGAGAAGAATTTGACGGCTGCTGGAAATAGAAAAATGGGTGAAATGTTTGGTTTGGGTTTGAATTTGTATTTACATTTGCAAGGGTAAAGAGAAAGGAAAGCGGAGACATCGCCAATTGTGGTGTTAGATTTGTGGCGGTAGTTTTTTTTTTTTTTTTTTTTGGGGGGGGGGGGGGGGGGGGGTTTGATTATGGGTAATGGGTCCTGTGGTGGTTGGCAGGGTGGGGATTGTGGCAATAGTTTGGGGTTAGGATGATGGTGGTTGTTCATAGAGAAATGAGAGAGAAAGGCCAAAAATAGGTTATTGGTTTTGCAGAGTGAAGGAAGGTGCCGCCGGAGAAGGTGGCAGCAAGGACGGTGGGGTCCCCTCTTGGATCCAGCAGCTGCAGACAAATACGGGCCTCTTAATTGGAAGTGAAGCACCGACGACATATCCTTCAACTCCAACACCACCGACTCCTTCTTCGCCACCGAAGTTTCTTGAAGACCGGTATGATACGACTACAATAGCTCCTCCACACCGCTGCCATAGGCAAAGATGGATGAGAGAGAAAGTAGAGAGGAAATGAAGAGGAAGAGACAGAGGGATTACGCGTACAACCACATCAGATTCCACATAGGTCGGTTTTGAAGTCGGTGAACACTAGTTGTCAAAAATAGCATTTTCCATATATATATCATATCATATTTTATTCCTTAGGGTCAATTTTGTCTTTTTTAAAATTTTGGACCCCTCACGGGACATGCATGCCTTCATTTCTGTCAAATTTCTAACTGTAGACAACATTTGCAACAAATAAAATAGTTTAGGGGGTTAAATATCTTTCTAATGGTTTAGGGAGGTTTATTGAGGAAGAGAAAAAAGTTGAGGGGGAATTTAGAGCACTTTACCCTACTAAATATGTCCCACATCGGACAATGGAGGAAAAAGGAGAAGGAATAAGGTGAACAGAACATACACCATAGTCTATATATACAATTAAGGGCGGCTCAATATAATTTGAGAACTTGGGCAAAAAATATAAAAATGACCTTTTAATATCTAATATATATATAGTCAATTCAATTAATCTTTCTTATCATATAATTGATTCTAGAGTTATACAACTTATACTTAATGAAAAATGAGAAAAATATGTCAGAAATAAGAAGGAAAAAAGAAAAATAAAAAGAAGGAAACGTGAATGAGAAGCTGAGAGAGAGAAAAAAAAAAAAAGAGAGAGAAAAAAAAGAGGTAAGATAAAGATAGAAATATTTTGGCTCCTATTAAATCTTGATTGTTTATATAAGAAAATAAAAAATAAAAAAGAAAAATTGGCCTTTCTATTGGGCAAAATTTAATAATAAGAAGAAAATAACATTTTTTAGGAAAGTTATAATATAAACAAATAAAAATTTTTGAAAGTTATACTATAAGGAAATACAAATTTTGGGGCCTTTATATTGGCTGAGTAATAATAGAAAGAAAATAAAAATTTTAAGAAGAATATAATATAAAAAAATAAAAAATATTAAGGCCTTCCTATTGGTCGGTGCCTTAGGCAACCGGACTAAGTCGCCTAAGGTCGAACCACCCCTGTATACAATTATACAAGCCACACATCAAAAAATTACTGTATAAAGAATGTTAGGAAGCTATACTTATAGAAGGCCCAGCACATCGAAGGCCCAGCACTTATCAGTGTTAGGCGTCAACTGGGAGTGGGCCGGTTCATGAGTAGTCAGACTCAGTAGACTCAACCATCTAATAGTACGACTCAATACAGATAACTGTTGAATTACTAATACGACTGCCACCAAAAAAATGCCGGTTAGTTACCGGTCTGAACCGGCTTTGGAAATGTTATTCGACAGTGACAGTGACAGTGACAGTCACATCCGGACCTGTCGGTTCACAACAACCGCGAATAGAAACCGCTGCTTTTCATCCAGGACTCAAACCTCAACACCATCGCATGAACCAACCAATAGCCTCTCTCCACATCACCAAACCTAATGGCAATTCAGGAAATATAATTTCATTAAATTTCATTTTCTCATTGACGTGGCGAGTAAACTATTGATTACTTATCGTAAAATATCTAGTCCCTACCGCACCGAAATGTTAACTCATCGGACGATTCGATAGACTGCTCACGATGACACCAACACCAACTCCCCTGTTCATCTTTCTCTAATTAAACCCTTCAACAACTCCGTTTAATCATCTCAGACCTTCCTCCGCACTTCTTGTTTAGAGGGAGAAAGAAAAGTTAGAGAGAGAAAACATGCGGGCGGATGATTTGGAGAGCAGGGGAGGGAAAGCGAGAGAGCAGAGTTCATTTGCTGCGTATGCGATAGACAGAGACTCCCAATGGACTTCGTGGTTGATTCCTTTGTTTATTGTCGCCAACGTTGCTATGTTTGTGGTTTCTATGTCTATCAACAATTGCCCCAAACATAACAATTCGGGCTCCGAAGGCAAGTGCGTGGCGAGGTTTCTGGGTCGGTTTTCGTTTGAGCCCTTGAGGGATAATCCTCTGTTCGGTCCTTCTTCATCAACGTAATGATTGGTTCTTCAATACCCATATCTCAATTTTCTCTGAAAAGTTGTGATTTTGCCACTTTTGGATTGTGCTGACATGAAAAGTGGATGGTAAATAAGTGTGTGTATGTTGGGTGTTCTAAAATGAAAATTGGTTTCTTCATAATTTGTGTGTTTCTGACTGATTACATGTTTGAGGTGATAATCCTCTGTTTGGTTCTTCAATACCCATATCTCAATTTTCTCTGAAAAGTTGTGATTTTGGATTGTGCTGACATGAAAAGTGGATTATTAATGTGTGCCCGTGTGTGTTGGGTGTTGTGAAATGAAAATTGGGGTCTTCATATGTGTTTGTGTGTGTTTCTGACTGATTTTATATGTTTGAGGTGAATATTGAGTTCATTGATTCTTTGATGTCATCTTTTAATATCTGTTTCTGACTGTTTTGCCATGAAATTTAGGTTGCTAATGTGTGTATATGATTCCTTCAGCTTTTCATAGTTTTGTTGTTCTAGACTGAAATTTTTGGTTAGTTATTTGCCATTTTGTCTCTTTTAACTCGATGCGTAGGTCTATCTCTCAGTTTTGCTTTAATTTTGAATTGGGTATTATTTTGGGATGAAAGCTTTCATGCGGAATTAGCTGGGAAAAAGGCTTGGTTGTTGGTTTTTGTTATTGTTATTGTTAATGTAATCTTATCTATCCCTCAGTTTTATTTTAATTTTGAAAAATTTTAATTTGGTATTTTTTGGGATGAATATACTCTTGGTGTGTGTGTGTGATTTTTAGGGGTTTAAACTGATAGATGTTGTCACAGAAAATCTTGTTTATATGGTCAAGTAATAATCCTTGAAAACAGTAGTATTTTTTGTTGTTCTGGCTTGAAATTGGGGTTTCTGGTGTATGATTTCATATGGGTTTTGTGATTTGGTCAAATGTTTTGAAGTGGGAATTTCTGGGACATTGTTAGACAAGTTTTAGATAATGCAAACGAAGAAGTGAAAGGCTTCATCTTTTTGATATTTCAGCTTAAAGACAGTTACATACCATTTATAAATGAGCTTACTTGGTTCTTCAAGGTTACATTTTAATTATGAATGGAACATACCTTTGTATAATGTCTTTTTGGGAAATATGAAAAGATATTCAATTCTACGTAAATTGTTTGAGTTGCAGCTTCATAGATCATTGATAATGACTGCAACAAAAAAGATTTTAGCTTCTTGCAACGATAGATGTTTTGGGATATGTTACATTACTGAAGAGTGATGGTGATTCATGGCTCCTAAATGGTTATGTACTTCTCATAACATATTCTGTAGGAATTTATTTGCTTTCTGTTGTATCTTATTGCTTTTTGTTTGATATTTTATGTTGCAACAAATGGGAATCCCTGTTTCTGTATTTGAATACAAATTGAACATCTGTTATAATCTATCTGTTTATATACTGCTCCTTTCTGATTTATTTGAACTATTTTACGTCTAGAAATTATCTATTTCAGTGCTTCAATATGTCATTTGATTTAGTTTTCTTTCTTCACTGATATTCTTCTCTTGTTTGCCTGCGAGCTTTGTGTGTTTTCTTTTAAACTTACTTTTCTTTTTCTTTTTTAATATTAAGTTGAATTATTTCTGGATCATTTCTCCTAAAAAAATGAAAAATTGAAGAAAAAATACTTTTGCTGAAATCTACATTTTCTATTTTGTAGATTACAGAAGTTGGGAGCTCTTGAATGGACTAAAGTGGTGCATAAGCATCAAGGATGGAGGCTTATAACTTGTATCTGGTTACATGCTGGTGTTATTCATCTGATTGCAAACATGTTGAGCCTGGCCTTTATTGGCATTCGCCTTGAACAGCAGTTTGGCTTTGGTATGTTATGCTGTTTTAAGTTTTTTCTGAAGTAATGCTGTTTTAATTTTTTTTTTTTTTTTTTACTGAAATAACTTTTGTTCCTATTTTTTTAATTTGAGATTTTCTATCCATGCTAACGTGAACGATAATCCTATTGTGTCTTATTTTACCATGTTGGACTCATCACATGATGTGTAGTAAGTAGACTAGTGCCTGTATCTATGATTGTGGTACTGGTAGACTCTTTAACGATTCTATTGAAAGAGAGAGAAAGAAAATATATGAAAACGTATATCTTATTGAGCGAGTAATACAATAATACAATGGTATTTATATAGGAGAAGCTACGAGAGTAGGTGAGTGGAGAACAAGTAAACCCTATGCATAGTAATTCTATATATGGTAATGAGGGGTAGGTGACAACTCATACAATACTGTACAACGTGACAACTCATACAATACTGTACAACGTGACAACTCGTACAATAGTGTACAATACTCCCCCTCAAACTAAAGAGTAAATGTCAATAATTCCCAGTTTGCTACATATGGAATCAATAGAGTTCTTGGGAAGCACCTTAGTGAAGATGTCTGCCAACTGCCTACCAAAAGGAACAAAAGGTGTAACAATTTCATTTGAGTCGACTTTAGATCGAATAAAATGGCAATCTACTTCAATGTGTTTAGTCCTCTCATGGTAGACTGGATTGCTAGCAATATGAATAACTGTCTGATTGTCAAAATGGAGAGGAATTGGTTACTGGATTGAAATCCCAAGTTCCTATAAAAGTGTTTTCAACCAAGTAGGTTCACAGGCAGTGAGTGCCATTGCACGATACTATGCTTCAGCACTGGAACGAGCCACAACTGACTATTTCTTACTCCTCCAAGTTATTAGATTTCCTCCTATGAAGGTGTAGTAACCCTTGGTGGACCGTCGATCAGAAGGAGAACCGGCCAATCTTCATCTGTGTATCCCTCAATCCGAAGATGTCCAGAAGGTCGATAAAGCAAACCACGTCCTGGAGCACCCTTGAGATACTTAAGGAGGCGTACAACTCCCTCTATGTGAGGTACCCGAGGACTGGTCATGAACTGGCTCACAACATTGACTACATTAAGAGATATCTGGACGAGTGATTGTGAGGTAAATAAGTTTACCTACAAGTCTCTGATATATCTCTGGATCATCGAGTGGGTCACCATCATCTACCTTAAGTTTTACATTAGTCTCCATGGGTGTAGCTACAGGTTTCGAACCAAGATATCCAGTATCCTGTAAGAGATCAAGAGTATACTGCCGCTAAGAAAGACTAATGCCTTGCTTTGACCGAGCCACCTCAGTTCTTAGAAAATACCAAAGTTTGCCCAAATCCTTAGTAAAGAAGATAGAACTCAAGTGATGGATTAGAAAATACCGAAGTTTGCTCAAATCCTTAGTAAGGAAGCTAGAACTCAAATCCTTGGAGATAGGCTGATTGGTACAAGACCGTTTACCTTTTCGAACAGCAATAGGTTGATCAAGACCAGAGTCCGGAGAGATGAAAGAATCTCCAGGCGTTGAAGCGATTGGTGGAAGTGGCAAGGCTGGGTTTACTACTTTAGTCGTTGGAACATGATTAACTACTCTTTTCCAGCGACGAGCATAGACACGAAGAGCTGGTGGGATGTCAGAATCAAAAATTGGAGTTGGAAGAACAGACTCTTGAAAAATAGAGTCCTCCAAATGACCGCCTTACTGAGAATAATAAGGAACATCCTCAAAGAAAGTTATATCTGTACACACAAATTGTTTACGAAGAGTTGGACTGTAATATTTATATCCCTTTTGAGTGCGAGAATTACCTAAGAAAATACATTTGTGAGCACGAGGATCAAGTTTGTCTTGTCCCGGGCTTAGATTATGAACAAAACAAACACACCCAAACACCTTTGGAGGAATGGAAAAAGGGTTTTTGTCAGGAAACATCATTTGGAAGGGTGATTTTCCTTGAAGGACCCTAGAAGGGATAAGGTTTAAAAGATAAGCAGCAACTAGAACTGCATCTGACCAAAAATGTTTTGAAACATGCATTTGAATTATTAAGGCACGGGCGATAGCTAGGAGTGGGCCATTCTTTCGTTCAGCAACTCCATTTTGCTGAGGGGTTTCAATACAAGATGTTTGATGGATAATGCCCCCCGACTCAAGAAACTTTTAAAAAGCATGAAGTGTGTATTCAAGGGCATTGTCAGTTCTAAGAACTAGTAATTTTGCATCAAACTGATTTTGAATTTCAGCATAAAAGGATTGAAAAACAAAGAATACTTGAGATCTATCTTTAAGACTATAAACCCAAGTTAAACGTGAATAATCATCAATAAATGATACAAAATAATGAGCACCAAATAAACCAGTAGTATGAGCTGGTCGCCAAACATCTGAATGTACTAACTCAAAAGGTTTTAAACTTTTATTATAAAAACGAGACTTAAAAGTAGCCTGGCGATGTTTACTAAGTTCGCAAGTAGTACAATTAAACTTAGCAAAATCAACTAAAGAAGGGACCAAGGCTCGAAGACTATTTGAAGAGGGATGTCCAAGGCGGCAATGCCACTGGTAAACTGAAGAGGAAGTGGGATGTAGAGTTGTCGGAGTAGTAGTTGGCTGGAAGTAGTAAAGACCATCCTTCTCAAACCCCCCACCAATCGTCTTCTTCGTCTTGAGATCTTGAAAGACACAACGGGAAGGAGAAAAAGTAACTTAGCAATTTAAATCTGATATGATTTTGCGAACTTACAATAAATTGAATGAAAATTGAGGGATATATAAAACTGATGAAAAAGTAAGACCCGAAGTGCGGAAGTTACCAATTCCATGAACAGGCGATTTGGCACCATTCGCTATAGTAACAACCAATGGTGAGAAAACATGGGAAATACTAGAAAGAAGAGATGGGTTACTTGAGATGGGTTACCTATCATGTGATCGGATGCCCTTGAATCAATGATCCAAGGTGTAGAAGAGGAAGCATGGAGACACGTATTACCTGAAGTAACGATAGTAACGGTGGAGGAGGGCTGATTTGCACGCTCACGCTTTACCAGAGAATCATATTCGGCTTTGGAGAGAACGACTTGTTCATTCATAGGAGTGAGAGTAGTCTCCTCCGAAACCGAAGCTTGATTACCCAAGCTAGCTTGCCATGAAGAGCCCAACAGAAGTCAACATAGTGATTGTTTCAGCCACAATGAGTACACTTCTTGTTGCCGCGACCCCCTCTACCGCTACGAGTACCACAACTTGGGTTGGAAGGACCTCTGCCCCCCTCGTCCTCCACGGAAACTATCATGTCATTCAGTAGGAACAACAAGAGTAGAGTAGTTGTCCTTCTCAATCACAGGGGCATGAATAGATGCTCTTCGAACTCGAGCAAAAGTCTCACTTGATGTGGGTATCTCCTTGTCAGACAAAATCTGCGAACTGATCGAAGCTAGTTCGAGTTTAAGTCTAGAAAAAAAAAATTGCCACCTGAAACTCCTCCCTGTGCCGTTTTTGTTGTTCTATGTCTGTAGTCCATGGTTGGTAGATATTCAAATCTTCCCACATGCCCTTCAATTCTGAGTAATAATCTTCAATAGAACGATCTCCCTGCTGAAGATTAAAAATATCCTGGTACAACTGATAAATACGAGAAATATTTTTCTCTAAAGAATACCTGTCCCTGAGATTTTCCCAGATATCTTTGGCAAATTCTAGGAATGACACGTTGTTGAAGATCTCAAGCTCCAAGTTGTTCCATAACCAAGTCATAATCTGAGCATCTTCTTTCTCCCAAGCCTCAATAATCTTTTCATCACTGGTGGGTTTGGTTGATTTAAGATATGACAATTTTCCTCGAGCCCGTAAGAACACCTCTACGGCTCGAGACCATTGAAGGTAGTTTGAGCCTTTCAGTTTGGTGCTGGTGATTGACCCAAGTAGATGAGATTCCTTAGTATCCATCACAAGAACTACCGAACAAATGAGATATATTAGCGAGAGGGAACCGAGATCTAGCCGAGATGAACCCTAAAGATATTATCGAGGAGAGAGCCGAGAAGGGATCTGAGAGAGGTTGCCGAGACGAGAATTGAGATCACCGAGGAGTGATCGCCGAGAAGAGATTGCTAAGAGAAAACCAAGGAGGGATCCGAGAGAGATTGTCGAGACAAGAACTGAGATCACCGAGGAGAGGTTGCCAAGAAGCGATTGCTAAGAGAAAGCCGAGATGGAATCAAGATCGGAGTCTGAATAAGACTAAAAGAAAATATTAAAGATGCGATTTCCGCTCTGATAACATGTTGAAAGAGAGAGACAGAGAGAAAGAGAATATACGAAAATGTATATCTTATTGATTGAGTAATATAATAATACAATGGTGTTTATATAGGAGAAGATACGAGAGTAGGTGAGTGGAGAACAAGTAAACCCATACACGATAATTCTATATATGGTAATGAGGGGTAGGTGACAACTCATACAATACTAACTGTACACGTGTGACAACTCATACAATACTATACAACGTGACAACTCATACAATACTGTACAACAAATTCTTTTGCTCTTTTTGGTTAATATTAGTTTTCCATGGATTGTATTTGTCGTTACATTTTATTGTTGCTTTATTAAACAATAATTATTTGGAATATAATTTTTTTTTTCTTTTACAGTCCGTATTGGAACTATCTACCTATTGTCTGGATTTGGTGGGAGCGTACTTTCCGCTCTATTTATTCAACATAACATCTCTGTCGGTGCTTCTGGTGCCCTTTTTGGGCTCCTTGGAGCTATGCTTTCAGAGCTTTTTACAAACTGGACAATTTATACCAACAAGGTATTCACCAAGCCATGGTTCTTATTACCAGCAAAAAATTCTACACCATGATTTTGCATCCTTTATTATTATTATTAGTTGATAGCTAATAAGAACACACGCACCCAACACGCTCACAGACCTACTATCTATAGAGTATTGCCCCGATAGGACTTGAAACATTGACCCTCATATGGGAGGAGGAGAAAATACCACTAGGATATACCGTGGTGATGGTTTTTGCATCTTGGAGTGCTTAATTATTGTAATTGGTCCTAAATCTAATATTAATGCTGTTAGAAGTATAGATTGTTGCATTCGCTTTACAAGGAATTATGAGTTTTGTCGCCTTTTTATAACTTCCTTCTTTGTGCTCTCAGGCTGCACCCTTGTTTACACTCTTGGTGATCATTATCATTAACCTAGCTATCGGAATTTTGCCACATGTTGATAATTTTGCACATATTGGTGGATTCTTGACCGGTTTCCTCCTTGGCTTCGTCTTGCTGCCCCGTCCTCAGTTTGGGTGGATAGAGCGTCGGAATCTTCCAGCTGATATTAGTGTGAAATCTAAGTACAAGACTTACCAGTATGCGTTGGGGTTGGTATCTCTGGTTCTGCTTATTGCAGGGTGAGTTTACTTGTTCTGAAACAATAATGGAAAATAGATTTTGTTCCTATTAGCATTTGTCGGTGATTGCATTAGGTGTGTTTTCGAAGTTGGTTTTTTACTAGCTTAGATGTCGTGATTAGCTAATTTAAGAAAAAGTTCTTCTGTTAATGAATTGATACATTTGCTAATTCGATGGGCGAAGACTAACTTTGCATTGTTTTTTTTATTTTCTAACCAAATTTCAGGCTTTCGGTAGGATTGGTGATGCTGTTCCGGGGAGTGAAAGCAAATGATCATTGTCACTGGTGTCGCTACCTGACCTGTGTCCCTACCTCTAAATGGAAGTGTGATGGAACTTAACACTCTTAGGATCGATGTACTTTTACTTATCCCACTCTCGATGTTTGTTTGCTTGTGTAAATGCATGGTTTTGGCTTAGAATCTGGATTGGTTTCTTCACTTTTCTGTTTTTTGCACATGAAAGAGAGTCTGTACTCTGTATTTTCCATATGAAATAGAAGATGCGATTAGTTCATTGCCCATTTTTGATTCTGCATTGTCGTTTTTCGCGACATGAGGGCTTAGTGTGAAGATCAGCTTGGTTCGGTGAATTCGTCCAGCCGCCTTTTGTTCAATGAACCAGTGAATTTTTTTCAGAGAGAGTGTGTGCTCATTGACAAGCTGGGAGTCGTCCATTGACTATTATTTCATGGATCGTCTGTTCTACTTATTGAAGTCTTGTATAGGATAGTAATTTTTACTTTATTTTTTTGGGTGAAGACACTTTTTTTCTTTTCTCAATATATTTAGCAACCCAAAGTGGAAAAAGAAGGAAAAAAAAAAAAGAGCAGAATAGTAGTACCAGAATCAAACTGAGCCAAAAAAGAAAAAATACCCTATATCAAAGAGAGAGAAGATTTAAGATTATATGGCGTCGCGGGACTCGAACCTTCAGTGTGTTGGACTGACGTGATAACCAACTACACCACGACACCTTGCTGACGACATTTTCTAAAAGTCATTTAATAAAAAGGTTGTAACATGAAAGTTTGTATCTTATTAATGCTAGTATAAATTCATGAAGCATTCATGAACAGCACACGTTCCTCGCTGCACACCAACCCAACTTCAAAGCACACTATAAGCTTTTCCATTTGTGCACTGAACCCATGTCATGAAGTAGGTAGCTAGTAGTGCTAGTAGGCGTTTTAGTGTGAGAAATTAAGTTGATGAAATTAATGGGGAGTGGTGGTAAATTGGCGGCGGCGGTGGTGGTGGTGGTTTTCGGAGTGTTGATGCTGCTATCATTGGCGGCGACTCTATCTTATGCCATAGACTGCAGCACCGTGACGTCGCTGGTGTCAGCCTGCGCGGCCTTCGTCACGTACGGTACACCGGACCCTTATCCTGGATCACCATGCTGCGATGCTATGAAGAGCCTCAACAGTATTGGGTATTCTCTTGAAGAAAGGAAATTGGTTTGCAGATGCTTAATGGGCCTCATTACTACTTACAACCCTAATGCCACTGCTGTAGCCACCTTGCCTGGTTTCTGTGGTGTCTTTCTTGGCTTCACCATTGATCCTAACACCGATTGCAACTAGTCTCTCTCTCTCCCTCCCTCCTCTCTCTCATTAAACTTTGATATATAGTTTACATTTGCTTTAGTATTAGGTGATCCATCTTTACCCAGTAGCCTAGATAGTGGAGTGTCTAGTTCATCGAGCGCATGTACTCGTGTTTGAATCCCCTCTCTTTAAGAAAGAAGTATTAGGTAAAGTGGTATGATTGACATTACCACAAAAGATAGAAGAGTATAAAGTGGTGGATCTCACACACTCTCTTCTCTTACAGTCATTATGACAATGTCAACAATTATAAAATTGCCGGACGAAATGACCCGCTACATTGAAGACCTTGGTAGAGTCAAAACCTGACCCACCTCTTTTAGTTTAAAAAATTAATAAATTTTTTTGTTAAATTTTATATTATTTTTCATGGTATTTTAAATTTCTAATTATAAAGTTAACAAAACTAATGAGTATAATTCTTTAAGTAATTTTTTGTTTATATATTTAGACTTTTTTCTAATTTTTTTTTTTTTTTTGGATTTGTTTAGGGTTAAATTTATTTGTTTAAATTATGCATAGCTAGGCTATCCGAATTTTAATTTAATTTATAATTATGTTCAACCCATATGATAATACATGCTTTTATGGCTTCTTTATTTTTTTCTTCTTCTTGATTCCGTGAAAGCACTTCCACAATGTTTTTGAGAAGACTTGTGTGCCCCTAGGCTTATTAAGAAAGGAGAACGCAACAAACATTAGGTGGTAGTTGTGGCCAACAACTCTCTTAAGATTCCCTTGGCTCAAACCCGCCTCTACTTCTTACTTGAAAAGAAAATTAGATATCATTGGACCCCAATAGTTGTGCCGTGGTATGGTTTTATTTTAATTTGGGCGCATTTTATACATAAAATGGAAAAGGACCCGCCCTTAGGAGGTTACTGAAATTTGTAAAATTGATTATTGTGATTCCTGCAAGGTCCAATCCAAAGACTTAATGAGACCTTTCACATTTATCACCATTATCACATAGTAGTAGGCAACATTGTTTTGGCTGATATATATATATATATAGTCCAATTAAATTGCATCAAATCATGCTTTCTATTTAGGGTTTCTCACATTGTTTACATTTTGGTGCAGCATTGCTTGAGTTCGGGGATGTAAGAGGAGGAGTTTTTGCAGGCAAAACGCAGAAATAAGGAGCTTGTTCCTCAGTTTCAAAGAAGAATAGGGATTTGTTGTATATGATTCTCAGCAATGGAATGATTAATAAATTAAACTTGTAACAATCTTAGAAATTCTAGTTTTATGTGGATTTTATCATGGTGTGTGCATGTGCACCCCTCTTTTAAGAGAATACGCGACTGGTTAAGTTTGGTAAAGTCACTCGCTCCACATCGAGTTAAATTATTTGTTTTATAGTGCGAAACAGGAACTCTTGGAAACGTGTTGAAAACGTGCTCTCCAAACGCTATACTTAACACGTTAACTACAACATTGCACGGACCGGATCGCGTATTGTCGTTAGGTCAGTTTTGCCTCTTTGCCATCGGTAGGATCCAAAATATGAGATAAAAAAGAGATTCTCTAAGCTGTTTTCTTGTAATGATTTGCATTAGAGTAATGGCTTAATTATCAGTATTTTGTAATACCCATTTTTGACCAACCAATATTGATAGGACAAAAAGTTAAAGGCAGACCGACAAAAGCAAACTAGTGGAATTTCTTTCCGTGAATGCACAGTAGAAATGCAAATTGGTCAAATATAGTTAATTTTTTTCTTATTTATTTATCCTTTTATTTTTTTTAATGTATGTGCACATCATATATATATCAATATAAAGGGTACATAGTAACTGCTAAATATCTATATAATTTTATACTTATTTTCTTTTTAAAAGTAATTAAAATAATATATTTATGTAACGTAGTATTCAATATAAATATTTTGTTTATTTTGAAGCAATAATATAATAAAATTGAATTACTAAATATTAGTTTGTAGGTATATGGGAGCACTGTGTAGTGGACATGCAGACTTCATCTACTTTAAAAAAGTCCATTTATCAGCTAACATGCACCTATTTAGAAGTTAATAACAACATAATTTAGATAGAAAACAAAAAATCCATATCACCGACTCCATTCACATGAAATTAAGGCAAGAATGATGCGATTTCGAGTTTTCTAACCTTAATGGCTTTAGATTAAGAAAAACACAAAGGTGTATCGACAACATACATGACAAGTGCACAATTAAGTGACAACATTAATGGGCCATAGTTGATTTGCATCACACATTACAAACAATCCTACAAAAGAAGATGAACACTCGCTTCACAATTCTTGAACTTAAAGAAGGTCGAATCAATATCTACATTAGTGATGAAAAGTTAAAACTTTTTAAGGACAAGTTGATAATCATGTTCAGATCTCATCCGAACCACCATAGGAAATGTACAACCACAACTCTAGCATTTACCGCCATGAACGGGCTTAAGACCGGCAACATCACCTTGAACTGGCATCCCAAGTCTATGCGTGCGGCCAGAGCCGGGATAGGCTTTGGTCCTGAAATTAGCATGTAAATCCACACCCCTCTCGGATTGAGTGTCCACGTCGCAAGAACTATGAAGAAAACTTTTAGTTGAACATGAACCAGGTGCCCCAAACTGCACCCTTTGCCGAGGGGCACTTTGGGACCTGACCTTAGCCCGGGAGGACTCTGTGTTAGCCATGTAATTCGGGTGACTAGAGTATCCACCAAAAAGGCTTCGCGAGCATTCACTCCTCGCGGGGGTGAAGGGACCTCGTCTGGCACTACTTCCCGGCCTAGACAATTCAGAATACACTTGTGGGCTGTTCTCAGCAGTCCATACCGGATGCTCTTCTGCTTCGGTAGGGAAATTCCGGGACCTTAAAGACAAGACTTCCCCAGAAGATAAACTTGGATTTCGTTCCAGAGGTTTTGTTAATTTTCTTGATAAAGAGTCAAATGTTGTGAAGCCCTGATCGTTGTTATTCCAACCCGAAAGAGGTTTTGGTGTTTGAAAGGTTTTGTTACTTCGAACAGAGTTGAAGAGAGGCTTGCAAGTATCTACTTCAAGTATCTTGTCACTCTTCTCATCATCAGCTTTAGATGAAATGTCTCGATGATTATTCCATGTACATTCTTCCATCCAATGGTCTAACCAATTGGGATTCGGATACTTCCTTTCGAGGTTGACCGGGTTCTTGATGTTAGATTTTGAACTACATCTCTGCATTTGTTGGAAATTAAGGGAAAGATGCATTTAACATCCACTAATTTGTTAACGGCTTAAAGCAAAGGATAAGAATGTGCTAATGAAATAAATTGATGAACTATTTCTAATTCAATTTTGATAATAAAAATTGGACTTAATATCCAAGTTTGAAGATGCATCCAAACTCTAAACATGATACCTCAAGAAAATGAATGATTGAATTCCCAATTAAAAGAGTACGCCATTTGAAATTGGTACCAAAGACACGTTTATACGCAAAGCCTTAGATACAATTGACTGTTTGAAAGATTCGACATGAGTCACATGACAAATGAAGTGTGTACCTTCAGGATTGCAGATCGGTCTAGTTTGGTGCTATATTCACGAAGTTGGTGGTCATGTTTTTCGCGAAAATGGCCCTGAAGAGGGACAAAATAACATAAACTTCCGGGTAGACATCAAGAGAAAGATAAAATACTCTTCCTGAGGATTCCTCAAGAAAAATAAACTGATTATAAGTAAGAAATGACTCGCTTCACTATAAAAGAACAGAAAATGTGACTTACAGGGTGGTGGGATTGGGAGGACTTGCTATTAGAGTATGAGGAATCTGACATGTAAGCCCGATTGGCACAGACTCGGGCTTGGATCCGGGCCATTGCCTGCATTCGTCGGAGCATATTTGTACTGTTCTTTCTCACAATGTGGCCTCTGACCAAGGCCTGAAGTTTCACCAAGCCCTTCAGTGCCCGCAGGGCCCTCCTAGCCTTCAAAATGATCACCAAAAGTCAAGCAACCAGATTACCTTTTTCACTGGAAATCAATTCCATCAGCTACGTACCCATCACATGAAGAAAATGCACAACAATTAAAAGCAGGTGCCTATTACATACACTGAATTTGGTGGTCCGGAAATAGAAACTTACATGAGACTAAGGAAGAGAATTTTTTGAAAGGTAGCAGCGTGGACGAAATCATATTACTTATCACTTTTGTAAACATAATCAAGTAGCTACTACAGGGCCTGTGAACCATTCAGTCACATATGATATAATATGGACCAAAATATTAACGCGTAAAGTAAGAGTCATAATATGATAGAGAATGGTGGCATATACATGTTTTCGAATTTTAATCCAGCAATATAAACCCATCTTCTCTTTTGCAGTATTTACCGTCACTTCTCTCTGTGCAGTAATAGCACATATGCATTGAAAGATGCAACAGTAAGATTTTGGTGAAAATAACATAATCCAATCAAGGCTATATATAAGTCCAGCAGTAACAAAGTCCGTAAACGTGAGATTGAAGCCATGATCTGAATAGAGTTTGCATCCTAGGAATATGATTACATATCATGTGCAAATCGAATAGAAAGTATCACCTACCCTTAGCCTCGTTGGTATGTTCTCCGCCTCCCCAGTGGGGAAAGATCGAAAAGAAAGAACTTTTTGCTCTAGCCTGCATTGTATAATTGAGCAGGTCTAACGCTATGAAATCATCAAGAGATTCACAATTCAACCACTAACTTAACTTCACAATGTAGTAGTTTCATATCCAAATGAGTGGAGGGGAAAGATTGAATTGGCTATTCTTTTATATTTATTCATTTTAGAGGTTATATGTATCACTTCCTTCTGCTAATAACATGCTATTGTAAAATAACGTATGCTAGATTGGCACATTTGTCCTTTCAACATGGTTGAAATACATGGTCAGAAATTGTACACTTGTTATCCAGACTTGAACATGGGCAGATGAGCATGTATTGTGGTTGCAATTTGTTGATTTCTTGTCCAGACTTGTACAGTGGGTGCATGTGCATCAGTGCATGTATTTGTTTTTTTTTTAGGTAACCGGAGTATATAGGGCTTTGCTCTCCGGAATACCGTTGTAAAGTGCCCCACTCTATACAAATCGGGTAAAACTCGAATTTTCATCAACAGGCGTGTACTCAAGTGTATGTACCGGGAAAGCTTGGCAAGCTCGATCTTTTTGTTACTCAGACCGCTTGCAATTAAAAAAATTCATTGCGACCTCAATTTGAGTTGGACTTTGAACATAGATGTCAAATAATCTAACTCCATGACTTAGACCTAGTCTCCTAGATTGTTTTTATAATTAGTTTTACTATTTATAATTATTATTAAAAATATTAATAGACATCATAATTTCCATCATCTTTTGTTTAAATATTTATCTTTGGGTTGTTGGAATGTTCGCTATATTTTTCCCATTCTTCCTTTCTGTTTTCTTTTATTTTCTAAAAAAATTATTCATGCTAAGTTACACAGAGCGGAACGAGAACCAGTGTAAGAGCAGAAGTGCAAAAGTGACCAAATCTAAATTACATATAATATAAACAAGATCGGAAACAGGGAGAGGGAAAATGGCACTCATTTAAAAAACAAATTGTAACATAGAAAATGAAAATTAAAGCATAACCCATCAAAACCCAACAATAAAACAATCAATTAATCAAGTGGACCCAAAGAAGATAAGTGGTTGAATTTGGTCAAACTAATTTTGACTCATATGACACATCCCTACTACAACAACTGTCTGCAGCGGTGACTAACATTAAGGTCATTTATGGAGTCTATTCACATACACAAGTCCCTAAAGGCGCGTGCAAAAGGAGTCAGTGTGATTACTGAAAAGGAATGATAACCACGTGCGTTGATGGAGCGTGGGACTATCTATGTTCATAGCATTAAATAGTGGAAGCCCCACGTGAACACCCAAAATTACACGTACAGCCCCCCCGAGAGCATGAAAGTAAAGACTTCTTTTATGAGAGTATCGAATTTTGAAAGTACAGAGACCAGAAATAAAAATGGTGGGGATAACATGGGAATAATTTCCGATTTATAGTGATAAAAAACACACACCCAACAAATTCCGGCGCGTATTAGCCCCACTTCAACTACAAATACAATAAATTTACTTTTGAAGGACAAAAGAAATGATACATAAAGGGAACGGAAAAATAAATAAATGAGGGTTTGATTTCCAAAAACACTTATGTAATGTTTGGAAGTATTTAAAGAGCATATTGACTTTGAAATTAAAATAAATTTAATTTAAATTTTAAATTCAAATTCACAATTCATTGTTCCTACAGTTACGTTTGATTAAACAAGAACAACAAAAAAATGTATGCAATAAAGATTCAGTGGGCCGGGCATAGCCTCAGACAATGAAATACATCATTCCACGTTGAGAATAGTTTTCATAAGTAAGTGGAGATCATCCCTAATGACTGGTGTATTTTTATTTGGTGGACATTTAATATGACAATCGCACCATGTCCCCTAGTTGCTTAGACAAAACAAATTCCATTTTTTTTAATTTTTTTTATTTATAATAATTGCACTTTAATTTTTAAAATAAAATGACATTATAATCTCGAATTCATACATATATAATATGAGTATTACGTATATGCATAGTAACTCTTAACTCAGCATGCTTTTACCAAACAATATTTTACTCTAATGGTATAACCTCTCTCCATCTTAAAAAAGGAAGGGAGGGGTTCAAACCGGGATGCAAGCAAAAAAATGTATTAGTTTCTTGTCAAGGTAAAAAATAAAAATACTAGACTTGGTTGTTATATATAAAAATACATGTATTACATATATGCATAATAACTCTGTGTCATCAAGTTGCTCTTCTATATATTTGGAGGAAATGTTTTTTTGTTTCAAATTTGTGGCCTCCATACCACGATGAAGCGTTAAGGCAATTCTCAATAAAATGGAAATGACCATTCCCCACGATGAACCGTTAAGGCAATTCTCAATAGAATGGGAACAACCATTCCCCACGAATAAAAATTCATTCCATATCTAAACGGATGGAATGAAAATTCATCATAAGGAACGAAATTCGTTGGCCACAACCACCGCCACTGCCACCGTCTTCCCCCACTACGACAACTACAACCACCGCCATCGTCTTCCCCCACCACCACCATCGTCTTCCCCCACCACTACCACCACTACAGCCACCTCATTCTACCACCACCACCACCGCCATCACAGTTACTGCTGCCTTCCGCCACCACCACCGCATTTTGCCACTGTCACAGCCGTTGCCACTGCCTTTCACTACCACTGTTGCTGTTGCCACCACCCTCCACCTTCCTCCGCTGCCACCATTGCCATCACAATTACTACTGCCTTCCGCCACCACCACCGCATTTTGCCACTACCTTTCACCACCACCCTCCACCACCACTACTACTTAGAATTGTGATTATCAATTCATTCCAACATCATTTCATATTTGCAACAAAACAAGAGAATGAGAATTCCTATTCCATTCCATTCCTATTCCCATTCTCATTCTCATTCCGCCGCCACCACCACCACCTTCCTTCGCCGCTACCACCGCCATCACAGTTACTGTTGCCTTCTGCCACCACCACCGCATTTTGCTACTGCCACCGCCGTTGCCACTGCCTTTTGCCACCACTGTTGATGCCGCCACCACCCACCACCTTCCTACGCCGCCACCATCGCTATCACAGTTACTACTGCCTTCCGCCACCACCAGTGCATTTTGCCACTGCCATCGTTGTTGCCACTACCTTTCGCCACCATTGTTGCTGTTGACACCACCCTCCACCACCACCACTACTATTTAGAATTGTGATTATTAAATTATTCCAACATCATTTCATATTTGTAACAAAACAAGAGAATGAGAATTTTCTCATTCTCATTCTCAACTTCGATACATTCCGAGAATTGTCATTCTCATTCTCAACTTCGGTACATTCCCATTCATTTCATTCCTGTAGGCCTAATAAACTATTTAAGCTGGGTCCACGAGTAATGCTACAATTTACAACCTCCAATTTCCAACACTCTTAATGGATAAACACATAAAGATCGTTTCTTATGAACATATCAGCAAAATAAAATTTTAACATTTTCCAATTCTAAATATCATTTTTCCTATGAAGCACGGACACGGATACGGGACACGGGTACGACACGACACGGATACGGGACACGGGTACGACACGACACGGATACGGCGACAAGGCAAATTTCAAAAAAATAGGACACGGACACGGCGGGGATACGCCTATAAAATTATATATATATATTCAAAATATAATTACTAGAATCTTGTACAGAAAAATAAAATAACAACAAAGAACAGAATCAATTTCAATAATTTCATCTCTGTTATAAGAAAAATATAGACAAGACAAAACAGAAAATAAATGAAAAATAAAGTTGATCCAAATTCCAAAAGAAGATGTGCAGAAGAGATATAGCTATAATGAACTAAATATGTATATGAATAAACATATATACTTTTAGTCTTTCACAAAATTTTGTTCATGTAACTTAAATATATATATATATATCTTGTTCATGAAGAGAGATAATTGAAGAAGAGGAAAGACTGAGAGGAGTGAGAGAAAATAAATTTTGTCTCACAGAAGTGTCGGACCGTGTGTCCGAGCCTCGGACACGCGTGTCCAATAAAAAATAATATTTGGACACTTTACAGAAGTGTCGGACACGTGTCCGAGCCTCGGACACGGGTGTCGGTGTCCGAAAAGTATCCGACACGGGTACGGGGTCCCTGGAAGGAGTGTCCGTGCTTCATAGCATTTTCCACTATCTGGTCCGCATCAAGTGAGTTGATTTAAAAATATATACTCCCTCCATTTTATATTAGATGTCCATGTTAAGTATTAGAAGTTTTTACAAGAATGCATTGTTCATTTTAAAATTATAAATTAATTTTTTTTTTAAGTTTAAATGTATATTAACAATTTAGAACTTTTTTTGAAAATTTAGAGGGCAATGATGGTAAGATAATATTTATTTGTTTTGACTTTTTTTAAATATATATTTAATTTAGGAAACCATAAATAAGAAAGATGAACTACTAATTTGGGAGAGAGGTAATTATTTTATTTATTTATTTATGATACAATTGTTTTAACCTTTCAAAAAAGAAATATATGTGTAAAATATTTATTTAGTTAATTTATATATATACAATTTAACATTTTAAAAATAATATATATACACATAAAATTTATTATTATTATACAAGATAGAACAAAAGAACAATTTTGGATCACGTTCATGCAAAAGACAACTTACTTATTTTATTTTATTTTTTTCAGGTCTCTAACGCAGGCATCTACACACAAAAAAGACCAACCACCAAATTTGCCAGATCATCTAAAACAGTGCCAATGTAATTATGAAAAAACAGTAGGGGTATTTTGGGAACAAAACCTGATCAATACTAACTAATAGAGAGAGTAGACTACTAACCAGATAAGCTCGGAACGCCGACTGAATCTTCACAGCCGCCGATTCCCGCCGCCCGCTGACATACGCCGCGGTGGCCCTATTCCCACCGCTCGTCAGCCTCACAACCTCCGCCGCCGCGTGCGCCGCCGCAAGAGCAGCTTCTGCCACAGCCGCAGTCGCTGCCGCCACGGCTATCGCGTGCTTGTTCGCGTCCACATAAGAAGAAGCCTCACCAGAGGAACCTCTGGTCCCAACGCTAAGTTTATTGCCGTTAAAGGATCTGATGAAACCCAATTTCTTCTTCTCCTTCGCCTGCCGGGAATCTGACCCACTAGACGCCGGCTGCGAGTCCGACGACTTTTTGGCCCCTAAAAGTGACCGGAACCATTTGGTTGCCTTACCCATCTCTCATTGCAGCCGAATCGCCACCATTTTAATTAGCAATATCAACTTTCAGACAATAAGAATCTGTGTGTATGTGTGTGTGAGAGAGGAGAAGCTTGTTTGGGAAGTTGAGACTGATTGACTGTTGTAATTAGACTATATCTGCGTATTACAAATGTGTGTGACTGTGTGTACTGCCTGTATAGAAGCGATTATAGAAGTTGGTGACACACCCGTATAGGTTAGTTGGGAACTTGGACCCGCGCAAATTAAAGATGGTGACTTTACAGTTTTTTTAATTCTGGAGAGGTCTTTGGTACCACTTTTCATTATTACAGTGATCACTTTTTTATGTAATCACAAGTACTTTATATTTCTGTAATATGTAGTTCCTTGATATTAAATAATATTACAGATTATTAACTAAAAGTAACTATGATGAACAATTGAACATCCCGCTTTATTGGGTCTTTATATCTCTGTAATATGCAGTTCCATGATATTAAATAATATTACAGATTATTATCTAAAAGAAAATTGAACATCCCACTTTTGGGTCGTTACTATTTTTAATTGATTTGTATTACAATAACTCGGAAGGTATTGTATTTTTTTGTCAAAAATAAAAATATTTAATCCTCTTTTTTCCTTTTTCTCTTTTATTTTTCACCGTCAAGATTATAAACTGTTTCAGAGAAATGTTGAGGAGAATTTCTTAGTACTATTACTGACTGTAAATTCAGGTGGTTTTGCTGTAATTAAGAAGGGGTTTGCTATGAATTCGATTGCAAACTCTCTTAAAGTGACAAATTGTCATCCTTCAATCTTGAATATTGGCCCAAACATAATATTGCCACGTTTGAATAACAATTGTAATTTTTTATTATTATTTTTTTTCATGACAAACACAAGGATACAACAATTAGGATAAACCAAATGCTTCCTAAAAGGCTCGACATTAGTGGCCTCGTTGCCTTGTTGAAGGATACGGCTAATCTATGCTGGAAAATATATGCTTTGTATGATATAATTAATTTTATATTAATATGTCATGAGATAATTAATAATATATTAAAAATAATTAATTAAATATGTAATTTGATATTTAATTAAACATTTAAATTAAAGTAATAAAATAATAATAATAAATAAAAAATCTAGACCGAGGCTATTATTAGATACTATGTCCTTAAGACAATTTACGCCTCACATGGTGCTGACAGACTCTGTGGCGCTTGTTTTTCAGGACACAATAGTCTACATCTACCAGTAGTAGCACTACAAATTCGTGGATTCGGCAAACCTTCTTTGTGCAATACTCTCTCTAACTCAAAAATACATCTACATTATATACATGGTAAATTGGGTGCAATTCGAACCAAATGGTTCGGACCAATCTTAATATAGCTTGATGAAATTGCATTAGGGTCTAAGTGGCTCAGACCACTTGACCTATAGTTTGAACCCACTTGGGTTGGGTTCAAGTCTAAAGAGGGAGAGAGAAGAAAATGAATTGAATGATTGCAAATGGCGGCTCAATGGGTAATTTATGAAAATAGAAGTGCATTTTCGGATTGGGCGTCTCTTCATCATTAGACACAACCATTTATATCTGTTTCTACATCACTGGACACAACCATTTATATGTGTCAATTCATCGCCAGACATACCCACTACAATAGGTTGCAATGGTTCACATTGAATATGTTATGTCTTGTAATGACCCAGTCATTTTTCTTCCTTTCATTTTTCCCATTTTTACGGATTTTTTTTTTTTTTTTTTTTCTGTTGATATTTTCTTTCACGTAACCTCACTTTTCGTGTTCGAAGTTGATTTTTGGCCTCGCGTGCTTTCATTCCATTTGGTTTCCTCAAAATGCGTAACTTTACTTTTAAAGAAAAGCTCGCTAGTTGTTTCTTTTTCCCGTAGGCGCGTGGATGAAGAGTTTCTTCAGAAACATTTTAGTTTTTTGAGGTGTTTTTCATAAATATCTTTTGAAAATATTTTGTCTTGGAGATTTTTAAGAAAGTATCTTTTGGAAGATATTTTCATTTGGGTCACTTGTGCAGCTATCCTTTTGTGTAAGGGCCTTTGTGTAATTAACGAAAGTTAATTGGAAAGGGTCTCTTTTGAGCTTGGATCCTTGTACGGGATTCATTTTCACATTTCGTCGAGTCGCGTACTCTTAGAATTGTGTTCCAGTTGTCTTTTCCCAGTTTTAAGGTTTTTGACCCTAATTGCCACCGAACTTGCTCGGGGCATATCTTTCTGCACAGAACTCAGTTTTTGACACTGTTTCTTCCGTTGTTCATTTTTTTTCATTACGGTACTTTTTGTTCACAGACTTTTGCCTTTTAAATGCGTTTGGACAGTTTTTACTTTTTGGGGCCGCGCAAGACCCGTTCGAGACACTTTTTGGGATTTCTATAAATAGGGGGTAGGAGAGATAAATTTTCAGATTTCTCCCCCTCCCATGGCTGCCGCCCCATGCTACCCTCTTTTTCCTCCTCTCTTTTTTTCTTTTTTTGAGCCTTTTAACTTTGGATTCTTCCTTGACAGATGAAGGCATACATATCGGCCTTGATGAGGCCTTCGATTTCAACTGATTGGAATCCCGTTTTGGCTAATTTTTGAGTTAGGGATTTAACTCAAGTTTGGATTTTGGTGTTGCGGCAAGAGGGTTTGTTGTTCTCCTCGTTGTCCCTGTCAAAACCCCAAAGTGGCGTCGCATTCGGAAAGGTTCCGTTTTGGTGGTTTTTGAGATTTCATCTCAAATTGAGGTAGGGGTTGTTGTATGTTTATATCCTAAGTGTTTTAGTGCTTTGGGGCCTTAATATATGTTGTTCACATGCTTGCTAAATCATAGTCTTGTATATAGATGGAAAGCCTTTGAATTGATTAGAGTTTAATGATTTAAAAGCATGTTTAGTATATATATGTGTATAGCTTGTTGAATTGTAACTTACATATATATTGTATAACTTGTTTTACAATTTAAAGCATACCTAGCATATATATTTATATATATTGTGTAGAGATATCATGATAAGTAATGGCTTGATGAATTGTAGTTTATATGCATTATATAGCTTGTTTAATAATTCAAAGCATTGGAAGCATGTATATCTTGTCGTAAGTAAATTGTTTCATTTACTAGGTTGCTTGATTCTAGAGACTTTTCATGTTAGGATGACAATCTCTTATAAAATAATACATTTAATTACCTTGTGACCATGTTACTAACTTATTATAGAATTAGTAATTGTGGCCTCCTATAATAGTAATTTAGCTTAGCATGATATATGATATCATTGCCTTATATAGCTTGTTTAAATATATCCTGTATAGGTATATTATTTATTTAGAATATCACTATTGTGTTACCTTGAAAGCTTGTCACTAAATTGGAGCATATTTAATACTTTGTGGCTTAGGATGGTAACTTGACTTGGTTGTTGTAAGATATTCTTGTTTTATGTACAAATCGCATATTGAAGTTGTGACATTCCGTATGCCATTTAGACTTGGAATTTTAGGACATGATTTGTGTGGCTTCAACCTTAATTGTGATGTTCCCATTTTTCACTTTTTTTTTTTTTTTTTCAAAAATTTTATCGTTGCTAAGGCATTTCTGTCTTTTGCTGTTTTTTATACCGGACACTGTGGAGTGTGCCGGTTGTATCCGAGAGTTGTTTGGGGCATTTCATTGAGTTCGGGACTCTTTAAAATGCAAGGGTGGTCATTTTGGTAATTTTTAGATTTTCGAGCTGAGTAATCCCGTGTGTGACCCGCTACTGGAATTGTGGCATGCTGGTATTTTAGTTGGGTCCATTTGCATTCCATGCATTTTATTTAATGTGTTATATAAGGTTGTGAAATTATTTAATGTGTATATATATATGTGGTGTAAAATGAAAATAAAAGAAAAGTGGTGGGACCCACCATTAGACCATTTAAGGCTATAAGACCACATTTTTGGTCTCATTTTCCTCTCTCCCTCCCGGCATCATCTCTCTCTTTCTTTATTTCTTGCTTTTTCTTTTCTTTTTCTCATAAAACTTTAAGCTTTGATTACTCTTTCATCATTTGGAGTTTCTTGATGCCGTTTGTAGCAAATTAAAGATCACGACGAGATCTACAAGTTGATCGGGGCAATTTCGTGTTTGGTGCACTCTAGGAAAACCGAGATCTAGGGCACACAATTTGGGGGGTTTTGCTTAATTTGAGGTAGGGGTCTCTAATTCCCAAATTCTTGTTTCTTTGTGAGTTGTTCATCAATAATTGTTGTTAAACATTTTCAATTTGAGTTGATTGTCTTTAAAATGAGGTATATGTTGTGTATGAACATCATGATTATGTGTATTACTTGACTTGTATGAAGAACATGCTTGAGTGTCAAATTTCTTGCCTATGATGTTTATTAACTTACTAGAAATTGTCATAAGGAAGCATGTTGATTTGTGTAATATTAATTTCCCATTCTTATAGTATTAAAAAAGTCATGTGATATGCATTCAAAGCATTGTGCATGAAAAAGAGTAAAATGATTTGAAAAGGGTGAAAAGGGATTTTAGGGCGAACTTTGATAAAAACGGTTTTGAGAAAATCTGGTCGCCGCGGAGTCACCAAAGGGCCGGTGTGTTAATGTAACTTAGAGAGAACTAAGGGAAACACCCTAGTGTGATTGAGCTATTTGGGCCCCAAATGACGCCGCAGGGGTACCAAGGGTCAGGGACAGTAGCCAATCCTTCTCTCGTGTCGCTGTGGAGTCACCAACGAACGGGTTATATTAACAGTTTGAAAAGTGATGGATTTGGATTTTGAAAATGGAGAGCGACATACACGGCATCGCATATCATGGCACGACATTGTTTAATTATATGTTGGAATTAATGTTGTATTTTTTTCCGGTATAGCATGACCCATATTCTCTATTCTTATTCATTATTTGGATTAACGGGGCTACAAGAGGTGTGTCTTAGGCACCACATACTAAGCAATTTGCTCACCCTACTACATTTAACATTTTTTAGGACTCGGGAAGGAAGTAGTAGACACAAACTCTTCACAAGCATAGGGAGGACTAGGAATATATTTTTTTCCATCTTTGTATATTTGCTACACTTTTGTAAAGTCTCAAAACCATAGTGAAGTGTATTTATTTTGCAAACCATGGCCATGTATTGTAATTAGAACTCTTGATGGTAATTTGAAGTTAAATGAGACTATGTAAGTATTTCATGATGAATGGGGAAGGAAAATATATTTTGATCTATTATTGATG